GGATAGACCAGCATGCAGCTCAGGGAGAGGTTAGGACTAGAGATATAAAATTGAGTGTCATTAGCATTTAAATGATATTGAAAGCCAGAAGATGGAAAATAATAATTATGCCAGCACCTGCTTCTCAGTTTACAGATCCATCTTTAGAGGCAGGGAAGGAAATATGGGGCTATTTCCCTATCTTTCTGCTCCTCCTTTCCCTTCTCCATCTTCTCAAAGATTACCCCATCTGGCTTCAGTGGCCATCATTTTCGTTCCTACAGGTGACTTGGGATCTCCTGCATCTCATCATATTTGGGCCAGTACGGCTGGAATGAGCCCACCGAAGCTCATCCTGCAGATACCTGCCTCAGTAGAGTCCTCTCTACACCACGTTCTGGTGGGGCTTGCTGTTTTGTGTTGTAAGCTCAGTCCAGGCCTGGCCTCTCTAAAGCCTGGATCTCTGATGGGAGGTGAGCCTTTTCCGGGCAGCCTGCCTGCCTCTCTTACAATTCCATAGGCCTGGAATCTTCACTAACTCTTGGCCTTCCTTCAATTCCAGTAGGAGGGCAGTGGAGCAAGTGTCTCTGTAGGGACCATTGGCTTCTTTCATTAATGGAAAAGAAAAACAACTGCTTTTAGTGGATATGAGAGAAAACGCATGTCTCCCTGGGAGTCATGTATGCTACCCCTGAACTGTGAATGAAGAGGGTGGCCTTGAAAGGGGAGACTCCATAACCTGGCCTGGCCAGATTACAGACTATTACTTAAGAATGAGCTATAATAACAAGTCAGATCTGGAGAGGAACCCAAGACTGCCAGCACCCAAGAAGTGTTACTTGTCGCCTCAAGTAATGATCTTCAAAATGAGGTGTGACTAACTTGAAAATGAAAAATGGAGGGGCACCTGGGTGGCTCATTTGGTGAAGTGTCCAACTCTGGATTTCAGCTCAGGTCGTGATTTCACTGTTTGTAAGTTCGAGCCCTGCATCGGGCTCCGTGCTGTCAGCACGGATTCTCTTGCATGGGATTCTCTCTCTCTCTCCCTCTCTCTGCTCCTCCCCTGCTCATGCTCAATCTTTCTTTCTCTAAATAAATAAATAAAACTTAAAAAAAAAAAAAAAAAGAAAATGAAACTGGGAACAGGTTTACAGATACTCATTTTTAGGACCCCAAAACCGAACTGTTTAAGAAGGGTTCTGGGCCTTACCTCTGCAGGACTTCATGCTGCTATTTCTTTGTCAGTGCCCTTCCATTTCTGCTGCCTCCCCACTTCAGAAAAGAATTATCACCTGGGATCTTGTGAGGGCTTTGCTCCTGGATGTAGAGTTGCTAACCAAGAAACTACTCACAATATTAGTTTCAAAGAAGGGTCCTTCAATTATTTATCAAAGGACCATAACTGTGTTTTCCTTTAGCTTATACACACCATATATACCACCAATTCTAAGAAATGCACTTTTGCTTTTGGCTTTCAGCTGGAAGCAGACAAAGGTGCAGCTGTCTTAGGTCATCCTGAATCTGGGTTCACCTAACACCAGCCACCTTCACCACGCCACCTAAGTTCAACCCCAACAAGACCAAGTCATATACCTTGTGGGGAAGTTGTTGCCACGTCTGCCCTGGCCCAGAAGACAGGCTCCCTGGGTCTGTCTCCAAAAATGGTTGGTGCTGACATCATCAAGGGAACGAGTGATTGGAAGGGTCTGAAGATTACAGTGAAACTGACCATTCAGAACAGACAGGCCCTATGCCTTAAACTTATGAGTAAAAAAAATAACGATTCAGGGTGATGCCTGAATCTTCACTGCTAATGTGAGACGAGACAAATTTTTAAGTGGGTAAAAGTCACCCCTAAAGTGACCCACCTACTTCAAGGGATGACTGGGAATCATGATCTTCCCATAAAAAAACAAACAAACAAAACAAACAACAACACCACCACACAGGCCCAAATTGAAGTGGTACCTTCTGCTTCTGCCCTGATTATCAAAGCCCTCAAGAAATTGCTAAGAGATAGAAAGAGGCAGAAAAACATTAAGTACAGGGGAAATACCACTTTTGATGAGACTGTCAACATTGCCTGACAGATGCAGCACCTACCATGAGCCAGAGAACTATCTGGAACCATTAAAGAGATCCTGAGGACTCAGGATGCCTGGCTAGCTCAGTCAGGGGAGCATGCGACTCTTGATCTTGACTCTTGATCATGTAGGGGTTCCAGCCCAAGGTTGGGCATAGAGCTGACTTAAAAAAAAACAAAAACAAAAACCCACAAGTATTTCATCTCTTAAGGAAGAGAATGCTGAGGGTTAACACATTGTTATCCATTGTGCAATAATCATCACTACTTTTCTCTGATAATTTTCAAATGATTGGACAGGAAAGTCATAGTACTGCAATCTGATGTTCAGAAATGTTAGGATTTTCAATACTTTTATTTTCCAAACATTTTTTTAAAAGAACATTAAAAGCATCAGAAATACAAATCTGGCCTAAAGGTTAACATCAGAACAGTTATAAAATGTTTGAAATACATCACATACTTTGCATCACAGTAAAGCATCAAGAGAACTAATTAATATACCCTGCTAATAATTAGTCACATTCAACTGAGTGCTCATTATTTTTAGTTCTCAGGTTAGCCCTTATAGAGAAGTTATATATGTATCTATTTTTATAAATAGATATATATGTAACTTGTGAAGAGATAAGTTTTATCTATCTCTGTATCTCCACATAGATACAGAGATACATGTGGAGAAGGCTAAGAATCTAGCCCAACATGTATTTCATGCAAGTTAAATCAATAATTTCTTGATGAGCATACAGAGAAAGAACACCTCATATGCACATGCTTATTTTTCTTTATATTATTATAACTTTTACCTCCCAAAGATGGGTCATCTCAAACTCAAAGGTCACACAAGAAAACCTGACATTTTAAATTTTACAAGTAGAAATTACTTTTAAAAAATCTTTTATTGAATCACACTGGAAATGCCTAGCCAAAAAAGAGATACATACCTTAAAAAGTCTTAATCAAGAAGTGTCTTCTTGATTAATGTTATTAATTATAAAGCTGTTTGGCTTATTGGAATAAATACCCAGTTCTAAATTAAGACAAAAGTCTCATTCCTAATTTTCCACAATTCTTCAAATGACCTTGGGAAAGGATATTGGATTTCTTAGTGCTTTTTAAAAAGGGTAATATATTACCTGGTTAGTATATTACTTAATCTTGTGGGAATATTAATAAATGAAAACAGTGTTGTATTAAACATATAAAAGTATAACTGAAATAGGTTATAGTGATTTTCAAAAATAGCATTCAATTACAAACAAGAAAAAATGTGACAGAGTAAAGGTTTTCTCTTCTGTTATAAAATTTAATAACAAAAACAAAGGAAGAAAGGGAGAGAAGGAAGGGAAGGACAAAGTTCTAAAAGGCGAATTTAAAAACAAAGTAAAACCCATATCTCATACTCAGATCTCAGAAATAGAATGGCTGGTGGGTGCTGGAAGGCGAGAGGTGTTGGACAAGGCTGCACAGAGTTCCAGCTGAGCATCTGTTCTGTGTCCCAACCCCCGTTCCCCAAGGAATCTTGTATTTGGGAAAGGCCTGGAGAGGGAGCTATAAACTGGATACCTTTCAAAACAACAAAGTTTCTTCCAATCTGCAGTAACAGTTCTTGACTATAACAATTTTCCTCTAAAGATAGGTTTTGGATCTTGATGCTCGTCTGGAGTTTGGCAGCTATAGTTCCGAAATTGCAGCGAGTTCAAATGCTAACTCTATAATGAAAATGTTTTTACATAAAAATATGAATTTACAGTTGTTATGCTAGGAATCACAGGGTACGTAATAAAATTAGCATAAGGTAGAGAAATACTTCATCTAGTTTTCCTTTACTGCCCATGTCCAAGATTCACGGGAGAGAAATAACACGATTAGTTTGAAAACAGATTGTCTTAAGAATTTTTCTACCATAGTGATACATAAACAAGGACAAAAAAAAAAAAATGATTTTCAAACACTGGGATACTCTGTTAGGTTGTTAACAAACCATCCTTACAGAGAAGGAACAAGTCAAATGAAATACTCCCATTGTCATTCTTACAGCTTCTTAAGCAATGATAAAGATCTTCTAACACACAATGGCAGTTCAGATTGCTTCCCACATCACCACACCCCGATTGAGATGACCACCGTTAGTGCCCATGCACCCAGAAATCACATTCCTCCACTACAGGTCCTGTCCTCTTCACCAAGGGCTCTCGGGTAAGATCATGCCAAAATAGAATAAGGCGTTTTCAGCAAGCAAAAACAGATTTCTTTTTAAAAAGCTTTATAGCAAATCAACTCACACAAAATAATGTCTATAATAAGAAATGGTAATAATCATAATACTGTATTCTTGGCTGACTGTCTTATGAAAGGAAAGTACTTAATGCCTGTGTGTCTTGGGTAAAGGTAATTATAGATAATATATTTCTGATTTTCTGCTTTGACAATGTATTATTTATTCAAATAAGCCTGCTACCGAAAAAGTGTATTGCTCCCCATTTCAACACATTACAGAATCAAAATTTACAGTTCAATTAATAAAAAATTCGCCTCAGTGAAGATCATACCTTCATATTGTTTAAAAAAAATCCAACTCAGGTATACTTTGAAGGCCCCGAACACTGACTCAAATGATCGTAATCAGTCCATTCTCCTTCAATACATTAGCGTGATCATTCCTGGCATCTATTTAAAAGTTTAGTACAAAAGATCGGAGCGCAGGTCAGGGTAAAAAATCTAAATAATACATTTTTACATCAAATCTTAAAAGGTCAAGAAACCACAAAGCAAATCAATAGGTCTTATACTTCAGACAGAAGAAAATCAGAACTGCCAACTGTTCCGCTGGATCTTGAAGTTTTCATCTACCACGGGTCTCACAGAAATGGGGGAAAAAATCAAATAGTATCAGAAACAAAAACAGCTTCTGCAAGAGTCTCCAGCCTCCACAAGCCTAAACAGAGGGCACTGGAATCTGCTTGGCCGACGTGCTGTCATATTCTTGCATTAAATCATTAGTGGTGTGATAGTGCATGGCAATATATGAACTAGCAAATCCAAAAGAGTTTACTGGCTGCAAGTTATGCGGACTGCTCTCCTCCTGGGAGGGGCTGCTGTTGTAAATGCTGTAGTAGGGTTCAATCCGAGTGTTGATGGGGGTGGAGCTGCTCTGACCGTAGTGCTGGTGTCCAGCAGAGATCTTGGGACTGACCACACTTTCCTTTGAATGACTTGGGCCACAAGCCTGGTCCACAAATTTCTTCTGGGGCTTTGGAGACAACATGTAGGCAGAGTTTGTTTCATGATGGGAGGATTTGTTTCTGTTGATTTCCAGGTTCCCCTTTCCCATGGCTCGAAGTCGAGTCTTCTGTTTGCAGCAGAAAAAACCCAGGCCCACGTACTGGAGGCACCAGAGCACTTTCCTCCTCAGCCCTGAGCTGTTCCGAGAATATATAAAAGGGTTTAATCCTGATTTGAAAAATATAAGGGTAAATCCAAAGAGTTCAAACTGGTAAAGGATGAAGCTCCCATTGCTGGAAAGGACCACCTGCACTAAGGAAATCCCCAGTGGAAGACAGCACACCAGGACGGAGAGCACGATAATCACACAGGTGACCACCGCTTTGGAATCCTTAGCCGTGGAGAGATTGACAGCAGAGACCAGCTGGAGCCGGCTGGCCCCCGGAGTTGGCATCTGGTTAAGACTCTTGGTGTATCCATGGGTCTGAACGTGCTGCAGTTTGTTGTAATTCTGGTTCCTGTAGAGAGCCGGCATGGTGCACTGGATGGGATCTCCACCCCCCTTTCCAGGGGCCCCCATGAAAGGCTGTGGTCTGGAAGCATCTACTGTGATCACAGGGGGGCACTTTCTGACTTGAGCATTTTTCCGCAGCGTCTGAGCGATCATGATGTAAGAGACAGATACCACAGCGACACAACAGGTGAAGTCGATCACATACAGAGACAAAATGGCTCTCCCTTCTCCGGCCATCAGACTGGACATGGGAAGGCAGAGGTGGGACTTGCTGGTTTTCAGGGTGCCCAAGGTGGCAAGAGTGAAACTGGTGGCCCAGAGAAGCAGAGTGAGGAGCAGGGTGCAGGGAAAGGAGGCTGTGCGATTGGGCTGCTTCCCCAACACCATGCGGAGCCGGTGCAGGGCAATCACTGCCACGGTCTTGAGGGACATGATTATGAAGCCTGAACTGGTGAGATGGAAGGTGAAGCAGAAAGCATCTGGGATACTACTGGCTGAGCTGAAGAACAACACAAAGGTGAACATGGGGGCTGTCACTCCACAGATGAAGAGGTCACAGAAGGACAGGTTCAGGATCATGAAATCAAAGTTGGTTCTGAATTTCCTGAAAGCTGGGTCAAAGAAGGACAAGAAGACAATGAAGTTGCCATAAGAGCCCAGGCAGAAGATGACTGCGAGTAGAAAAGTGCAGGTTACCAAGGTGGCGGTGTGGATGAGGTCCTGGAGGCCCTCCTGTAGTGTGGTGCTGTTTCCTCCATGGGAGTGACGCACGTGGAGCAAGGTGGTGTTGGGAGCGTCCTGAAGGTGGTCCGTGGAGTTCATCTTCAGAGAGAAGGGACTCTCCCTTCTGTGGGAGGGGAGTCAGGGCCTCAACTCACAGGCGAGCGGTATGGGGCAAAAGAGGCCCAGAGCAGAAAAGCCTGCACACAAAAATGCACACCCAGAAACAGAAAGAAATTAATGGAGTAGAGCGATCGCATGATTTTTTACAAGAGTACTAGAATTTGTTTTAGCTCTGACTGATGCATACAAAAAAACATTTCTCTGCTCAAAGTCCAACACAGAAAAGACACAAACACCTCAAAATATATTCCTTGGGCTAATGTCAGGTTTCATGGCACAGTGGTTTTTGAAATAGTTTAAGCATCACCTGGGGACTTAAAAAAAAAAAAAAAAAAGCAGATTCCTGGGCCCCACCCCTTGAGTTTCTGATTGAAGGGTATGCAAATGTTCCTTTTAGAAACACTCTGGTGCCAGACACCACAGAGATCACTATGTACTTACAGCCTAATGTGGTCAATCAGATGACAGCAGGTGCTGTGGAAGTCAGAGAAGGGGAAGCTAATCCCGACCTGGGGTGGAGGCTGAGAGCAGCTGCAGGGAGTGATGGTGAGGAGCTTGCTGGGGGTCAGGAGCAGGGCAGGGATGGAGGGGCAGACAGGGTGAGATTATAGGAGTAGGTCTCACAGCATGTGTTTAGGTTACAAGTCAGATGGCATTGCTGAAGTATACTGTGGCCCCTTATCGAACTCCCACAAATCACTAACAAGTACTATTTCTTTCCCTAGGAACACGCTTTATTTTCCATTGTTTATAATTTTTTCTCCCTGCTGGTAATTTCTTGGCCATCTCCCTCCCTTTCACTGGAAAAAACTTTGTGTAGGACTACATTTGAGAGGGGAAAATGAAAGCACTGTATTTGAGATTTAAAAGGTACAAAGCACCCTTTTGTAAACTCTAACCTTCTATACAAAGGTGAATTGTTATTCAACAGCAATATCGTCATGATCAAACAGGAGGCACATGCCCATTCATGCCTTCATTTACTCAGTTTACATTTATCATGTGCAGACTGTATGCCAGCTTTATGCTAGGTGCTGTGGGTAGAAAGATGAGTAAGACCCAGCCTCTGCTTTATAAGAAAACTTCTTTTTCTTCTTGCTTTTTATTTTCGACTTTGTTTTGCAATGAGATTTAAAGTACACTCACAGAAATCTTCCGTTGTTCCAAATGTCAAAGCCCTGTGTGGCCTGGTGCCCACTCTGCTCTGAAAGATGCTTCCAGCGGGACAGCTGAAGTTGTTCCGTGGAGACTGGTGCAATGCTCTTGACAACTCAAAGGTATTTGCTTTAATCCAGCATTTAGGAATAAGCAATGGCACTGGGGACGTCCTGGGGTTATGTTCCAAATATTTAACCATGAGCTCCAACTGGGTTCCAGAGGCCTCTAGCTGTGCCTGGGATTAACCCTTTGGTTCCTGGATCATGGGGCACAGAGGAAGAGGGGACTGATCCATGAAGGATTACTCGGGGCTCCAAGCAGCAGCTATGAACCTCCTGATACAGAAATGTCTCAGCATTCATTCAGTAGTAGGTATGGCTGTGCCAGTGAGTATGAGACAAATTTCAGTCCTGAGGAGATCCATCTACCTAACAAATGTCCTTCACGAAGGAAGAAGATGGCCTCTTTTTTCTTCTCAATGGTCAAATAGTACAGACCATGACAATATGATGAATTTCTTCACTGGCAAGGGAAACCAGCTTTCTTATACTTTCCTTATAAAAGTTCCATGAGACAAAAATATAAATCCCAACCACTTGTTTCTTGATGATTAGAATTAAAACATAATAATGGATGGCTTTATTGTTTTCACTTACAGACCGGTGCCTGTTTCTGAATCCTTTTTGATAGCTATGAGGTAAGAAAAAGACAACCTTTTGCTACTTGTTTTTGCATTGTTAATTGGACGACTGGAGTTTGCTGATGAAAAGAGAAGTAGAAAACTCAACTTGAGGAGGCAGAAAGGCAGAGAGATGCCCAGAAGGGTTTCTTCTTTGGAGGTAGGGGAGCAAACAGGAGCGAAGAGGGAAGCAGGAATTTGGAATGAAAGCATTTGGAACTGATGTTCAGAGAAATACCGAGTGAGTGGCTAAAAACGAAGAAGAGGGGTGATGGAAATTATGAAGATCACAGGCTAGGAGACATCTGGAAAGGGAACTGTCAAAGGGAAAATGGGATGATGAAGCACCAATATTGGTCAAGGATAAGAGGCAGGAGGAAAAAAAAAAAAGATTTGGAGTAGTTGAGGACCAACTTCCACTTTCTGCACAGTTATAATTTTTTCAATCAATTTAACATTTTCAGTAGGTTTTTTTCAAAAAAGAAAATTCTAGGTCAGGGATATAATTGTCAGTGTCATTATTAGTATGTTAACTTTATCAAGTGCTTATGATATGTCAGGCACTGTTTTCAAGGCTCCATGATATTAATTTCTCGAATCTTCACAGCAACCCTGAGACAGTATAACATATCCCTGTTTTACAGATAAGGAAACTTAAGTTGGAGACAGTGCTCCCACCTTAAAGTGGTAGGGCATGGATTTGAACCTAAACTGACATTTGTCACCACCACGCTCAACTCAATGTTCAACTCAACATAACAAGAAAGAAATCAAGGGAGGTTGGCTGCCTAGAGGATAATCATAGCAGCTATCACTTCTTGGGTCATTATCATACATATCAGCAGCTCTACATAAGCTATCACACTTTATTTCACTCTCAGTATAGACCTATGAAGTAGGTATCACAATCCCTTCCGGACTCAAAGTTCCTGGAGCCCAAAACAGGGACACACACACACACACACACACACACACACACACACTTCTGTGTAACTCTTTGGCAAGGTTGATAATTACACTTCTGGTATAAGGTAATTATAAATTATTCCCAGATAGTTAGGGGGGAAAAAAAGAAGGGAATGTGAGGCTGGGAAAAAAAGGAAAAACATAACAGAAATAAAGGTTTTTGCAGAGAAACCTTAGCAGCAATAAAGGAAACAAAGGAAAAGTAAGCCCACTTCTGGGACTTTTAAGAAAGAGGAGGCTGGAATCACAATTTGGAATGAAGTTATGATGGTAGCACTATAAAACTCAGTGATTTGAGGAGGGGGGTAAATGAAATTTGTTACTCCTAAATATTATTTTTTTTATTTAAATTTTTTTTTCAATGTTTATTTTTGGGACAGAGAGAGAC